CTCCACGCGATGACATGAATTTGGGTCTAACGGCGGGTACACTATTGATAGAAGTTATTGGTGACGATCCGACCTCCTCCTGAACCACCGCCAGAGATTAAACGAGGTGTTACAGTTCAAGACATTTATGCTTATTTAGTTTTTCTCATGTTTTGTCCTCCTCCGACAAGTTTTTATTATTTTGTCCTTTGGATTATTGTTAATGTCTATGTTGCCAGGGTTGTCCGTCCATTGGGGTTGTTGGCCCTTTTTCATGTCATTAGGTATGTTTGGATCTATGGGAACAGGGATGGCTGTGTCAAGCCCGTTACACGGTTAGCGATTTGTGTTGCTCTTTCAGGAGTGACCGTCTCCATGTTTGACCATAGGGTTTACAATCATAGTTGTTGGAATTTAGCTGGTGTCAATTTTGTTTTTCCTTTGATTGATGTAATGATCCTGAAATTGCTTATTATATGAAGAGAGATTATTTTTGTTAAAAAAAATCATTATTGTTTTTGTTGATCCTTGTAGTCATCTTTTACACACATTCTTTGAGTGATGAGTTGTGTTGCTTTATTTAAGTATTAAGTATTGAGATTGAGATTTTTTTTTAATTTTTTATATTATTATGGGGGTCTCAATTTTATATTTTAAACTGGGACCTCCTATTAATTAGACGGACATGTATACTCCTCTCTGATCTGTACTATGTAGCAAGACCTTTTGAGGCATACACATAACACAATCAGGCCATACCGCCATAATAAAATTTTGATAAATACCCCAATTAAAAAAATTAAACGATCTGGCCGGGCAGATCATTGTGAGGGTAGGGGTGTACTCAAGCCCCGGCCACCCAATACGAAGGATATGAACTCATTATGAGTTGATAAAAAAGGTATGTGAGGGTAACTGGGCAAGTGTACGTACGTCTGTTAAGTGATGCATTTTGGATGAATTTTCATTCACTCCTCTGTGGGTGTAATAATGCTTTAATTTGATGGATGGAGACCATGAAACTGATGAAAGCTCTTTCCATTCCGTTTAAGAAAATCTCATTAAAGCCAAAGGCCTTTGAAACCCAGACATTATTGTTGGGAACATGCAAACTCTAAGGTTACCCCCCCCCCCCCCTCCCCTCACCCCTAACGCCCAACTACCCCCCGCGTTCACTATGCTAAGCATGAAATATACTCGTAAAATTATAATTAACTTTCACAACTAAGATTTGTTGGCTTGTTGCTATAACTCTCAATAAGGGCATCCACATCCATAGATTATTTTTGAGATCATTTTGATGATGTGGAAGATTTTTTTTGGGATCATGGATGATGAGTTTGAGATTATTTTATGAGATTATTTGATAAAATAATTTGGTATCAAATTCTAAAGCTGGATTATTTTGAGATTATTTCCAACTTCTCGTCATATACTCATAATTATGGTGATGACTAGCTTTGTAGTTCGTGCATGCTCATGCTCCCTGTGAAAATAATGGGAAAGCCGTACTCCCTTAGGAGCCTTGGCAGGTATATTTATAATAAAATATCAGTTTCCAAAATACACAATATTCCTAAATTATATCAGCTATTACACCCCCTCAAGCTGTGCGGGAGATACAACGCGCAGGTTGTCTTTTAGAAAATGAAATTGCTGACTAGATAAACTTTTAGTGAAAATATCAGCTAACTGAAGATGAGTAGGAACATATTTAACAACTAAATCACCATGTGCAACTCGCTCACGAACAAAATGATAATCGATCTGAATGTGCTTGCTACGAGCATGCTGAACTGGATTTGCTGTCAAGTAGGAGGCAGAGATATTATCACAGAAAAGCTGAACAGGTACCCGTACTGGTAGGCCGAGCTCAAAAAGAATGGATCGGATGTGCAATGTGTCCTGTACAGTGTAGGCAATAGCACGATATTCCGCCTCTGTAGAAGATTTGGATACCGTAGGTTGCTTCTTGGACTTCCATGAGACAAGAGTAGGACCCAAGAAGACCGCAAAACCTGTAGTTGAACGAGAGCTGTCCGGACAGCCGGCCCAATCAGCATCAGAATAAGCCAAAATACACAGTGGGCTAGCCGACCTCTGTAACCACAATCCGTGGTCGATGGTACCCTGAAGATAACGAAAAATACGCTTGACAGCAAACATGTGAGTAGTACGAGGAGCATGCATAAACTGAGACACTAAATGAACTGCATAAGTAATATCAGGTCGTGTCAAAGTTAAATATTGTAATGCACCTACCATACTGCGATACTCAGTAGCATCAGCCAAAAGCTCACCATCAGTGAGAGAGAGTGTGGTACGAGTAGCAAGTGGTGTACGAACAGACTTGAGAGTGTGTAAGTGAAAGCGAAGGAGAAGATCAGACACATATTTTTGTTGAGACAGAAAAAGACCTTTGGAATTGTGAATTGCCTGAACACCCAAAAAATAATGAAGATTTCCAAGATCTTTCATGGCAAAGTGAGAAGCGATGCGTTGGATAAAGGATGAGACAAGAGAGGGAGAACTGCCCGTAATAATAATGTCATCAACATATAACAATAGGTAAATCACAGACTGGTCCTGACGATAAATAAATAGAGAGTTATCTGACTTGCTGCAGGAAAAATTATTAGCGAGGAGAAAGCTGCTAAAACGGTGAAACCAAGCCCGGGGAGCCTGCTTAAGGCCATAAATGGCTTTACGCAGACGACACACATGATTAGGAAATTGAGGATGAACAAAACCTCGGGGCTGACGCATATAGACTTCTTCTGTAAGGTGTCCATGAAGAAACGCATTTTTGACATCTAACTGACGCATAACCCACCCAAAAGAAATAGCAAGAGTAAGAAAAATACGAACCGTGGTGGGTTTGACAACCGGACTAAATGTTTCCGAGAAATCCACACCAGCCTGCTGATTAAAACCTTGAGCAACTAGTCGTGCTTTATGGCGCTCAATGGTTCCATCAGAATGAAATTTAGTTTTGTAAATCCACTTAGACCCAACCACATTTTTAGTGCTATCATATGGAACTAAATCCCAAGTATTATTAGTGATAAGTGCATTAAATTCATCTGCCATAGCTTCACGCCAAACCAAACTTTTATGAGCCTCAGAAAAACACGTAGGATCAGTGCTAACAACTGTATTTAATGTAAAAATTGATTTTGGTTTAAAAATACCGGACTTAGCCCGGGTTTGCATGGGATGCATATTATGAAGTGGGGCGGTGGAAGCATCAGTGGAGACGGAGATGTGAGTATTATGTGGACTGGACGAACTGACATGAATATGATCAGGCTGAGGGGTGATGGTTTGGTCGCGTGGAGTGCTTGGGTAGGACGAAGCATGACTGGCAGACGAGAGGGACTGGGGACTAGGCTGGCCGAAGGTATAGTGTAGCTGGCTGGGAGTTCGATGTGTGGTTTCAGGACTAGAAGATGACCGGTTGGAGTGAGAACTGGGAGGAGGGGTCTGGGCGATGATCGGTGAGGCAGGGAGAAACACCGGTGGGCTGGAAGATGGTGGCAGAGCTTCTGGTGCGGAAGAATGTGGCCGAAGGGTGTTGGTCAACTGGAAGTCAGATGGGATAGGTGGAGAGGGAGACTCATGGCTGGTAGAAGTTAGAAAAGGGAAAGGAAAATTATTTTCGAAAAACTTAACGTGACGACTGATGTAAATTTTACCAGACTTGGGATCAAGACAACGATACCCTTTATACCCAGATGCATAGCCAATAAAGACACAGTGGACAGACCGTGGTGAGAGTTTGTTAGAGGATGTGGCAGTAATATTGGGAAAACAAGAACAACCAAACACACGCATGAAGGAGTAATCAGGGGATTGTTGAAAAAGTTTTTCATAAGGAGAGATATTGCCAAGTAACGGAGATGGTAAACGGTTAATAATATATGCAGCCGTAAAAATGGCATCAACCCAGAATAAACTAGGAATAGAGGCTTCAAGAAGCATAGTTCTAGTGAGTTCCAAGAGATGTCGATGTTTACGTTCAGCAACCCCATTTTGTTGAGGTGTGTCTGGACATGATTTTCGAAAATAAATGCCATGATGATCAAAAAATTGCTGCATATGAAAATTAACAAATTCACCCCCTCCATCACTTTGAAAAATTTTAATTTTAGTATTAAAAAGATTTTCAACTAAGGATTTAAAAGACTGAAAATGGCGAAACACTTCACTCTTATTTTTCATGGGATAAAGCCAGGTAAATCGAGAGAAGTCGTCAATAAAACAGACATAATATTTAAAACCCATATTTGATAAAATAGGAGACTGCCAAACATCCGAATGAATTAATTGCAAAGGCATAGAACAATTATGACTAGCATCCGTAAAAGGTAAGCGTTGAGATTTGCCCAAGCGGCAAGAAATACAATCATGAGAAAAACTAGAGTGACTACAAATATGTTGCTGACTATGTAAAGTTCGTAAAACAGAAGTGCCACAATGGCCTAATCGACGGTGCCAAATGGGTCCGGAGGCAGTGATAGATGACAAAGCTAGTGGTGATGGAGAACTGAGGCTGACTGGATAAAGATGACCATGACTAGGTGCTTGTAGAAGGACCGCCCCCGAGAGTTTGTCCTTAACAAAAAAAGAATTTTTATCAAATATTACAATACAGTTGTTATCAGCGCACAATTTTTGAATGGAAAGAAGATTAAATTTAATATGAGGCACATGAAAAACTGATTTCAGCGTGAGAGGACGAGGAGAAGTATTTAAAGAAACATCACCAATATTAGCTATAGATAATTTAGATCCATTTGCAGCACTAACAGAGAGTGGTCCAGTATAAGGAAATTTATTAACTAAAATACCTTCTGTAGGAGTCATGTGAGCAGATGCACCCGAGTCAGGGTACCATAAAGCAGAATTTGATTCACCATTAGTAGTAAGCAGGGCTGGTGTAGAAGGCTGACTAAAGCGGGATGGACACTGAAGAGCAGAATGACCTGCATTGAAACATAATTGACAGATGACAGGTGGTGGAATGGACCCAAGAATGCCCTCACCCGATGGAAAGCCTGCATAGCTAGTGTGAGTGCCACAAATATAGAAGGGATTAGTATTTAAATTGGACACAACAATATTACTAGCAGAACCTGTAGTGCTCGAGAAGGAGGATTGCACCCCCTGGAACGGTACTGGAGGCCTGCCGTAGGTCTGGCTGGAAGGACCCGGCTGCTGTCCCCCAAGAAACTGCCCGCCTGAAAGTTGCTGTCCCTGCTGGCCGGTGTAGTGCTGCGGGATGGAGGCCTGCGGTTGCTGACCGAAGAAGGGCGGAGGAGCTCCATAGTACTGCTGCGGTGCCCCGTACTGATGTGGCTGACCGCGGCCACGTCCGCGTCCTGTTCTACCGCGACCGCCACCCCGTCCACGGCCACCCCGTCCGCGAGGCTGATAGTTGGCTGGTTGCTGTCCACTGACAGCAGCGGCCACAAAGGCCTGATGGCCAACGGAAAGTTGCTGTTGACGCTCAGATAAAACTTTTTGTTCTTCTTCCATGAGACGGGGTTGCAGTATGTCAAACGGGAATGCATGAGGAAATAAAGACACAGTAGTAACAAGGGACTTATATTCAGGCCCCAATCCGGCCAAAATGTATTCAAGCAACTCTTTATCCGAGACAGGGGAATTAATTGCAGCAAGGGGATCCACTATGTTCTTGATTTCTCGTAAATAAAGCTCCATAGATTGATTTTCTTTCTTTTTGATGGTAGACAATAATCGTTTAAGTTCCATGCTTCGTGGTAGACTAGCAGACATAAAGCGAGTCTGAAGTCTAGTCCATATAGCAGCAGAATGTTTCAAGTCATGAACATCAACTAAAACATCCCGAGTTAAAGTAGCAAACAACCAGCACCGAATTGTTTGATCTACTCGTAACCAATAATAATATTCGGAATTTGGAACTTGTCGAGTAGCAAAATCAGTTGTATACATAGGAGGTACCTCTATGGAACCGTCAACAATGCCAAGTAGACCTTGAGACACCAAGAAGGATTCAAACTGAGTGCGCCAAGTGAGATAATCTTCGACTGCCTTCAACTTGATAGTAACAATCTGCGAGACCGTGGTGATATGGGACACGGACTGGGCAAGGACTGCCATGGGTGAGCCAAAACCAGTTTGTTCAGCCGGTCTAATGACACCCGGGGTTCCCGAAAAGGTAGTGCCGAAAAAGGAAGATGCTGGCGGCGGAGGTGGAGAAGCATGTACCGGAGACTGAACCACGGTCGGGTGAACCGAAAAACGTGGCGGTACTGTTTGAAAAAGTGTATAAATTATTGGTTTAGAGATTTATTGGTTTAGAGATTATTTGAGATTATCTTATGTGGATGTGACATGACAATAATAAGTCATGAAAAACTGTAAAATTAAAGATCATCAATGTGGATGCTCTAAGTACGGAGTAATATCTTATCACAACTCACAAGAAGCCCTAAGAAAATGAATCATACAAACATCAAATATCATCAAAGACATTGTTGATCTTGTAATTAATGAACACATTGTACAACTATGAAGAGGACAAATTGGTTCTGAAAAAAAAAAAAGATGACACCCCATCCCTGAGGGCCCCCCAACACCGACCGGACGGCACGATGGGAGGATGTAAATTGGACTATAATCACAATCTGACAGATAGAGAGTGTGGCTCTTTCCCCAGTACTTGCAGAAGCCCTATGCATTTTTCAGCATAGTAACCCCTCATCGCAGTTGCCGGGATTCGAACTCGAGACCTAACCCTTGTGGCACTCCCTCGCTACCAGTTGAGCTACGCCCACCGGTATTTCATATGAAGCAATACTAGAATCAATGATACACACATCAAATATATATCATTAAAGAACGAGGAGAAAAAATAAGTGAAGTTCAAGTGAGTCTTGTAATAAATAATTAAATATATTTTTGATTCAATCCATATCACCATTCGATGATTTTTTATCTAATCTGAATGTAATTATACCTATACTTACAACTAGATCAATAATAATACGTATCTCGTTTCCCTAACCGAGACCAGAATTTTCCATTTTTTTTATTCTGTTTTCCATTCTCCAATTTTCCATTTTGATTTTTCTGTTTTTTTGTTCTCCAATTTAGTAATTGTCCTAAATAGGACTAAAACCCAATGAAAATTCTTTAATAGGACCTTAAGTTTTTTAGCATACGCCGCCACTAATAGGACTAAAACCCATAAATGAAAATTCTTTAACTCTCCCGCTCCACGCCGCTACCATCACACCGACTCCACCACGCGCCATCAGAGGTTTCTTCTCTTAATCTCTTCTACCTCCTCTTCCATCTCCTCCTCCTCCTCCTCCTTCTCCGATCTCCTCCTCCTCCTCCCCCTATTTCTCTATTTTTCTGAGATTTGACATTGATTTTTCTGATTTTCCTCATATTCTTCAGTTTTTATGGAATTTGAAATTTATTTTGCCAAATTTCGGAATTTTATTTTGTATTTATTATTTTTTAAGATTTCTGATTTCTTGTTTTTCTAATGCTTCTGATTTTCCAAAAGTTTGGACGATGGTTTCTGATTTTGCCAAGTTTATGACCGAAATGTGTACACTGACAATCATATTATGGCAAAAACGTTTTTTTTTGTAAACCATTTTTTCTAGTTTTCGTCATTAGCTTTGTAATTTTAATTTTCAATTGTATTAAAATGCTTCTTTCATTTTTTTAATTTTTTGAATATGATTATTAACTTCATATTTTTGCCAAATTTATGACAGTTTTGTATTAACCTTCCAACATAAATCTGCCAACTTTATGGCAGATATTGAAAAACCTTATTCATGGCAGAATTGAAATACTCTTCAACACTAAATCTGCCAAACTAATGGCAGATGTATGGCATCAAAGTTGTGACGGCGGCGGTAATGCTTGAAGGTGGAGCGGTGGTGCACCAGAGACAACATATGATGGTGATGTTGACAGATTACATTGCTGGCGGGGTGACATCATTAGCGGCATTGGATGGTGGCACCGGTGAGGAGGAGGCGTATGGCGTCGTCGGTGGGGGGGGGGTGCTGGAGCAGACCAGCAGTAGACCTCTCCGACGAGAGCGGCGGCGGGGAGCGATGGTGGCAGCAGGGAGCGATGGCGGCGGCAGGGGGAGATGGTGGCGGCAGCAGGGGTGATGTTGGTGGCAGTCCGATTGCTAGCGTTGAACATTTTAGGGTTTAATTATTGAAATAAAATTTCATTAAGGGCATATTTGTACAAGAAGGTGGTTTTAAGTCCTATGAAACATAATTTTAAATGAAAGTCCTCTTTGTGTCACGCCCCAGACCGCAATCCAAGCGCGTGTACAACCGCCGTATAACTAAGTGACGTCACCCACGAGTCAACCTCACTTAATTACACAAGGCGTTCGAGAAAACAATCCATCCATACTCAGTAGTAAACATACATAACAACATCACATTTAAACCAATGAATAGCGGAAATATTCAACGGTAAGTCATGAGCCACAACCGGCCAACAACATGGGCATGCAAGCCCAAAAAAAATGTTTATAGTAAAACAAATATCCATGAGCAAGTGTTCGGTAGTTTGAAAGAAAATAAGGAAGCACAAACCACGTCTTCCCGATATGATACCACCCGTGAGAAGGTGCAAGTAGCAAGCCCTAGCTTCAACCTGAAAATGGTGGGCCCCCCCGAAGGGGTCAGTACAAGTACCGAGCGAGTAGCAGGCTAAATATAGAATAACTAGCGTTTCAAGTATAAGACCCAAACATAGGGTGATACTTAAATAAATAGCCTTTCCCCCAAGTTATGAAATACTTATTAGTATATATATATACTTGGAAAATATCCGATCCGTAGATCACCATTTTATTTGGGAAAAATAGTAATAGTCAATATTCTTGACTAAAAACCCCAACCCACCCATATACCTATGAGTGTATAGGACTCCTCCTTGTCCCTATTTGTATATCATAATCTATGAGTTTTAGGATCATGATCCTTGGATACTCCACCGGTTTGTGAGTGTTAAGGACTCATAAGTCCTAGGGTCCTCCACCAAGTTTTGAGTGTTAAGTACTTTTAAGTACTAGGGTCCTCCACCAAGTTTGAGTGTTAAGTACTTTTAAGTACTAGGGTCCTCCACCAAATTTTGAGTGTTAAGTACTTTTAAGTACTAGGGTCCTCCACCAAATTTTGAGTGTTAAGTACTTTTAAGTACTAGGGTCCTCCACCAAATTTTGAGTGTTAAGTACTTTTGAGTACTAGGGTCCTCCACCAAATTTTGAGTGTTAAGTACTTTTAAGTACTAGGGTCCTCCACCAAATTTTGAGTGTTAAGTACTTTTAAGTACTAGGGTCCTCCACCAAATTTTGAGTGTTAAGTACTTTTAAGTACTAGGGTCCTCCACCAAAATATTTTCCTATGATCAACCTCCTATCAACCTAGATAGAGTCTATATCATACTTAGTTACTCATAACTAATTCAATACATAAAGCTTATGTATCACAATCCATGCAAAGCCATGCAATTATATAAATGTATAATTAACTAATATCAACCGATATTAATTAATCCATTATCCATCGGTCAACGTTGTCGTTGACCGCCATTTCAAGTCTTACACTTATCAACTTAATCATCATGTAATTAAGTTAATAATATTCATTGGTGCATCTTGTATTTTATATAATTCTTCATATCATATTCCATGCACAAACAATTTATTTCTTTCATACAATCTTAACCCTATTGGCTAATCACATGTTTAAATATCTTTTAAACATCATTATGAACTCATATAACATTTATTTAGGTAATCTCATAATTAACCCAAAAGTTATAAGATATTAAGCCGTCCACTCACCTTGAACTAGCGTTATGAAGTTCTACCCTTCTTGGTTGAACTCCGGTGAAACTCCGGCGACTTTTGGTCAACTCCGGCGACAACTCCGGCGACTTTTCCAACTTTGTGAAATCACTTGAAATACCCTTTACAAGTGCCTAACAAGGTTTTATAATCATAAAACCCATATTAATACAATTAGCCTCTAAAAGGTTATTTTCCGGTGAACCGGTCGTTTTGGCTTCTAAGTCCGTTTTTGGACGGAGAACCACCTTCCAACCCATGAATCCACCCTTATAACATATGGAACCATAATAAAGGTTCTTCACATGATATATACTTCATATGGTAGAAGAAAAATAAAGGAAAAGTTAATATAAGGTCATTACCTTTATTATTCACACTTTTCCTAGATTTTTCCTTCTCAAATCTTCCTCTTGGACCTCTATGGCTTGAGCTCGAGTTGCAGCAATGGAGAGTGTTTTGAGAGCTCAATTTTCTTCTTCTTGGAGGGGTTGGTCGAGCACAAGGATGAGGAAAGAGGTAAGAAGTGTCCTTCTTTGTCTTAGTTGACAAATAATGTGTGTGGGTGAGGTCCACACCTCAAATGATCCCATTCCAATCAATTTAGCTTCATCCTCACATGTTGTGCGGCCACACAAGTCCCAATTGATACCCAAAAACGTGGGGTGGCCCCCACTCATGTGGGAGGTCATCCCAACTTGTCCCGGAATGTATATTCGACCCCGAAAGTTGTATTTTTCGGACTGTTTTAAATATATTTTATTTTATCGGGTAAAATAAAATACATAACTCACTCTCAATCATAACACCCCTTTGAAATAATATATATTTCAAAACTTTAATTTGGAAGTCTTCGAAATTCATTTTCGGGCTGTTATCCGTTAAATTGTCGGTACCGATAATTGGGCTTCTTTTGACCTACCGGTCAACCCCAGGCCTTCCCATGGCCCGAATAAGCTATTCACCACTATATAAATATTATTTCGACCCATAAGAATAATTCATGTGATCTCGGGAATATCGGGCGGCCCCCGCTCCCGGTGTGGGTC